TAGAACCTTTTAGCCAAGTTCATGCCCTGATCTCACAGCAGCAACCAGGAATTGCTTCCAAGTTAACCCTGCAACAACTCAGGGCCAGGTGGATTTGGTCACATCCAAAGGAGATGGTGGAGGCCAGCTTTGTTCTGCCACTTTAAATGCACACTTTTGGCTTCCATTAGGCACAAGAGATATTACGAGGGGTGTCCTACATTCTCATGGTTTGTTCCCCCCCCCCCCAACTTTGCCTGATATATCTGTACTTTGCTACCGCCTCTCCCCATTTGATTTTGACTTTTCTTGTTCATTGCTCTGACTTGGCAACTGCTGTTCAGCCTTTCCTAGTAGAAGACATTCTGCTTTCAAATCTCTGTTTTGTCCCCTAATTTAGTTTAATATCTTCTGTCAAAAGGATCCTTGAGCTTATTTATCTCACCTTTGAAAATCTTCTAACCCAAGTAGATACTGCCCATACCCAACAAACATTTGTTTCTTTGTATTCTCAACATTGGGTCCCCTTCAGCTGTGTGATAAGACTGTCGCATTTGCGAATTGTCAATGAGATCACTTCAGTAGTGTCATCAACCACACTTCTTTTCTGGCTGTGGTTGGAGTCTTGCTGAATATAATTTTATTTCAGGTTTTTCGACAGTGTTTTAAAATCCTTTTCCAAGGCTAGCAATGAGAAGGTGAAAACAACTAGCCCAATTCTATCTATCCTCCCTTCATTTGGGCCGTATTCCCAAACCAGCTGATAATTTGGTGCTGAACACTTGAACTTGAGGTTGGGATGCCAGGAAAATGCTCCCAGGCCCCAGGGGACAAAGGGAGGAACAGCAGAGTGAACTCATTCAGTCTCTAACTTCCACTGTTTGTCCCACTATCTAATGCAAATGTCACAGTAGGAATGTAAACTCTACTTTGGGGCTTACATCAGCCTTTGAAGGATTTCAAAAAATTCCCCCAGATAAGACTAGGGATTAGTTTTCTTTTCTTTTGCACCAGAAATAAATATTTATATTAAGAAAAGATGGCCAAAACTTGGAAAGTGCTTGAATTATTTAATCAGCCCTATAAAAAAGTTCACTCTGATTGATGTCCGACCTGGCTAATGAATTTTAATCCTGGTTTTATCCCAAATCCATTACTTAGTCACAAGACTGCTGGGGAGAATTCTGAGCACTCCCTTGTTCAGCATCTGAAAAGGATTGCACTGTCCCATGGTCATAACCAGGAATGCATGCATTTGAGCACAGAGTTCCAGTTCTTGGATTCACTCCATTAGACTTGAGCTTCTCAGAAGCTAACCCTTACCGTAGAACTCTTCAGCCCTAGAACTCTCTCCTAGAAGGCCAGCTTCCCATTGGTGTCCATCCTTGTCCATTGAGGTTTTGACCATTTGCCTCCAAACAGGCCATTAGGAAGCCCCTCAGCTCTCATCAATTTTTGACCATATTACGTTACTAACTGGGTTTGACTTCCAGCTCTGACACTTAGTAGTGATATAGTACTGACTCAACTAACCATGGTGATCCTCACCATCTCAAACTGTAAAATTAAAAATAGTATGAAAACATCTAGTGGTGTTAGATGCAGTGTGTGTGTGTGTGTGTGTGCACATTTTGTAAAGCTTTTCCTTTTCCTAGGCATTTCTGCTATCTAAAAAGATCTTAGTTTACAAAAATAAGGAAGATTTTTCTCTTCAGTTTCCCTAACTTTAAGTCACACATTCATAGAGCCTATTTTAATTATGTGTTCATGCAATTGAGTAGAAGAGTAGAATAACATTTGCAGGGTGCTTATTAAGGGCTAAGGTTTGTATTTTGTGCTTCAACGAACTCTTGGTTTTCCTCATACAGTTCTATCCAATGATATCATCGCCATTGTTTATAGATGAAGAATTTGTCTCCAGTCATGCAGTAGCAAGAGAAAGACCCAGGATTAGAACCTGGATCTGTTAGGTCAGGAAGCCTGCTCTGTGCCCTCTGTGTGCCCTGTGTCCTCACTCCCCAAATCAGGCTCCTGGCAGTCTGACGTAATGCTATCCATTGATCCCCAGATCCTGATTCAAACTAACTTCTGTTCCTTTATCAGATTCCTGCTATAAACAAATGCTTTAAGCCTATGCCATGACCATGCAAGAATTCTGAAATATCCTTGGCCATGGACAAGTGAGTCTAAGCTTCAAACTGTCTAGAAATTCCACTTAACTTCATCTTTCAAACTCCCACTCCTCCCTAATTTCCTCCCCAGTTGCAAATAAAAGCCACAAGGGCTGATCCCAAGCCCAGATCTCCATTTCCCCCAGCCCACACAATGCTAATGAGCAGTGAAATGGCCACTCAGTGGGCAAGAGGGGCAGGGGCCTACGTGGTCCTGGGCGTGGGTTCCACCAACGTCACACACTGGCTTTGACAGAGGCTGCAGTAAGGCTGGCACAGCCCCCCTGGGACGAACGTGGCCCAGCTGAAGAGCAGACAAGGAAGGCTCTGGGCCCTGCTTCCCAAGTGACATGCCAGGAAGGAGTCAGATGACCTGAGTTATGGAAACCAAATGGCCCTCCTTTGTTGAGAAAAAGAGAAGAAAAAAAAAGTCACTCATTTTTGTGGTGAAGCAAAAATAGGCTCCAAACCAAACAATCTGGCTCAGAGCAAAAAATGCCAGCTCACAGAGCAGGCGCTCAAGGCTTACAGGCCAACAGGCTCACAAGGAGCCTGTAAGAGGGATCAAAACTGCCCTACGGCCTCTGCAACAGCACCCCAGTTCCCCAGGAAGCATTTTCCTCTGCTTTGTTGCAGGAATATTTAGTCTCCCCAGCAAGAAAAGAAGCTAAGAAGGGAAAGTGAGACGGTCTGCTTGACCAGGCCATGCTCCACTCACTCCTGTCCAGTTAAGATAAAGAGAAAGAGCCGGAGTTATTCAGAGGAAGTTAGCTCAGCCCCTGCCACAGGACCATGGGCTGCCAGGCTCAACCCCTGGCAGGCTGGATGGCTGCAGCAGGCCACTTCTGGCACCCTCCTCAGCATTTGGCAGCTCTGCCCATGCAAGGCAGCCCCAAGTGAGCAAAGCCTCTTGTGACTGCTGTGTGCAGCTGCCCCACAGTTCTGTGGGTAGGAGTTGCCCTCTCAGGTGTTGCCGGGATGTGTAGCATAGAATAAGCCACAATCACAAGAGATTCAATGCAGGGTCTACTCAGCCATACCTTTCCCAAGCTTGGTTTATTCTCTGATTGTCCTGGAATGGATCATGCAAAAGGATTCAGTTCCAGTTCAAGCTTTATACTTGCTAGGCAGCTGTGGGTTGCTGTCATCTCTCTGATTTCCTCTCTGCAACTGAGATGTGAGTCTAATGTCCCTGACATGCCTCAGTTCATGAGGTCTCCCTAGGAAGGCAGTTGGGTGAGGCTTTTGTCCAGGGTAGCTACACCACCCATGAGATAAGCACACAGACTCTGCACAATATCCGTCTGCCTGCATGCAGAGCCAGGTGCCTCTGTGTTACATTGGGCAAGTTATTTAATCCCTCTGTGTCTATTCCTTACCTCTAAGATAAGGGAGACAGGCATCTAGCATAGCAGTAAAGACACCTGCAATTTCACGTTGAAGTCCCTGGATTCCAATAGCTCCTCTAGCTCCTAACTCCAGCTTCCCGCCGCTGCAGACTGTGGGTGGCAGCAGTGATGGCTCAGGTGTGTGAGTTCTGAGAGACCTGGATTGAGATTCTAGCCCTGGCATGACTCAGTCTCAGCTGTTGCAGGAATTTGGATGGGTGCCCGTTGTCTCTGCCTCTCAAAGACATAACGAAAGGGGTGGTATTCCTCTATGGTGGCTCTGCTGAGGGAGGGACTAGTGATGCCTGGTGAGCTTGTAGAGAGCCCCCTCCATGCAGCTGCCCCAGGGAAAAGATGGGAGAAGGTCTTGAAAATCAGCATGCTCAGCTCTGGGACAGCAGGCTCTTTCACTGCCATCACAAATTCATCACTTGAATTTTTCTGAGAAACTTTAATACTTTTTCATTTTATCAGCAACTATCTCTAAAATTCTCAAGCTAATTAAAGAACTTGAATCAAACTTCTGCCAATACTAATCTTTTTAAATCCTACTTGCTAGGTGGGGATTTGGTGTAGTGATTAAGACATCAACTGCGATACCTGCAACCCAAATCAAAATACCTGCGTTCAATATCCAGCTCTAGCTCAGGACCAAAACCTCAAGTTAATGCAGACCCAAGGAGGCAATGATGATGGCTCATGTGGCTGGGTCCCTGCCATGCACATGGGTCATGTGGGTTGAGTTTTTACCTTTGGCTTGGCTCAACCTCCCCAATACAGGCTTTTGGAGAATAAATCAGTTGATGAGCGAGCTCTCTCCCTCCCTTTCTTTCTCTCTCTGTATTTCTGTCTCTCTCTTTCAAATAATTTAAATTTTTTTAATTAGTAGGAAAAAAAAAGAACAATCCTATCTACACCCCACCTGGACGTATCTGTTTCTCTGCCCTATCCTCATTCCTTTGACCAGGAATACCTCTTCTCCATCTGCCCACTAAAGCACACTTCCCATTTTGGATTTTATATGGCCTGAACACAGCAGCCAGGCCAAAGAACTTCCCTGTCTTCTGAAACTCAAAGATGTTTTGGTTTAGCCATTTATTCTTTTTATCTGAAAACTTTTTCCATAAATATGGGTTCTTTTCCAAGCTAGACTTGGACATAAAGCTCCATGGGACAGATCTAACATACTCTTGTTTCCCCCTCAGCATTCCTACTCCATTGTAGGGCTTAACTCTCTTACTCACTGGCTGACAAGCATGGACATCCACATTCAGGAGACTAGTGTTCAGACAGAAGCGTTGAGATCACTCCAACAGATCTTCCAGCTTATGCAGAGTCTTGATTCTCAGGTGTCTTTGGTGTGCCAGCATCTCCTGAACTTGGTTGATGGCTTTAGAAGTCACTGAATTTGAAATTATAACCTTGCCTCACTCCTTTTAATGCAGTGTCTTCTTTTTTGCAGATGAGAAGCCTTTTGTTGTAGAAGATACTTACTTGCTGTGCCCAGCTCCTGTCTTAAAAGAAGTTGGCATGTAAGTTTTTACTGGCGACCATATCTCAGAGCCAACTTGGAGAAAGGGTTGAGAGGACAAAGGGGAAATAAAATCTACTGAACCAGCAGCTTTCTCTGGATTCCTCCAGATAATGATGATGCTGGTGCTTACACTTACCCAAGCTCCAAATGTTTTATGGAGTAGCTCACTTCCCTATGAACCAAATAGTCCCATTACCCTAGTTTTACAGACGTGGAGGCTATGGCTGAGAGACTTGCCCAAGGTCACATAGCTGTCAGTGAAAGAATTTTAGTGTGTCTGGCCTAATCACAGCATTACTAGAAAGTTCTCACACATGTCATCATTATTATCCACTGCATGACAATAATCTCAGAGATAAGGAAACTCAGAAAGTCTAAGTAAGGCCACAACTGGTTCATAGCAGCCAAAACCCCAGTCTCAGCTCTTCCCACATCCCTTTGAAGCTCCTTCTTTACTCCAGAGCGCTGGGTATTCAACCAGACTAGGTTGAGTTCCCTGAGCTAGATTATGGGGAAAATCTGAATATGCAATGATAAGAAGTATTAGTAAAGATGCGATCAAAATATTCAGCAGAATATTGTAGGGAATCAGAGAAGTAGTGTGGGTACAGAGGAGAAAATAGCCTCTTAATGGAGAGTATGAACCATGTCTGTCACAGGCTAGAGACCTAACTGTATCTTAAGGGGAAAAGGATTCAAGTTATTCCTAGGAATTCTGCATTTAATCACTTGTTCACACTGTAAAGCCTCCATCCTCCATGCCTGACACTCACCTGCGATTCTTCTGTTGTCACAAATTAGCCCATGTCCACAGTAGCTCCTGTTTATATTGAGTGTCTTCTAGAAGGGAGCTGGAAAAGGCATACAGTTCATGTACTTCTTTACCTCTCTGAGCTCACTGAGGAGTAACAAAGCTACCCCTATCAGATCACTGAACATTCAGATAAGAACAATGGAGCAACAGGCTTCAGGTTTTCCCATTTATCCCCACTGATGCAGATAATTGTGTAAGAATAATTTGGCCACCATAGTGTGACAGGTTAAATGGAAGCAGGTTTTGCCCATTCAACACAGTTCACTAAACTGCAAGGTCTGAATGCATTGCCTTGATTCCTCTGCCAAGAATATCCCAATATCTTTAACAAAGAAAGAAAATCAAGCTCTAGGGAACAGACTGCAATCCCAAGGGTGGTTAAGGCCACAGCCCAAGGGAGGCCTACCTAGCTAGTGCTCAGCCACTGCCCCTCACACAGCAAGCTGAGTATCGCTGTTTCCCTTGTTGTTGCAGGAAAGCTGCTCTCCAGGTCAGCATGAATGATGGCCTCTCTTTTATCTCCAGTTCTGTCATCATCACCACCACACACTGCGTAAGTCAGAACCTTTCCCTTTACTGACATGCGGCTTATCTTTGTCACTGTCAACAATATTTGCTAAGCACTCGTCTCCAAAGCATCCCGGGAAAGTTTTCTGGTTCATCCCTGTATTCACCAAGCTTTGATCCTGGCACCATAGGGCCAGCTGTGGATGGATCAGACATATTCTGCACCCAAAAGTGTATTAGGAATGTTATGTCAGGTTTACCAGGACCACTGCTGCTGTTATTATGGAGGAGACTTGAGCTGAATAACCTGAGTAAGTGGTGAAATGGATGTTTTAACCAGTTTTCTATTACTGTAATGAAATACCTAAGACTGGGATACTCACAAAGAAGCAAAGTTTATCTAACTCTTGGTTTTGAAGACTAAAAATCCAAAAAGCATGGTGAAGTGCTAGTGAGGCCTTACTGCCTCACCTCCTTGCAGATGGCATTACAAGGGGGCACACATGAAAGGCACTGATCATGTCACTAGACATGAAGTCAGAAGCAAGGATAAGCTCCTTCACTACAGCCTGCATCCAGGTGATGCAGAGTCCCATGAGACCTACATTAATCTCTTCCTTGGGTAACACCCAAGATGGGCCTTGCATTTTAAAGGTTTAAGTCCCATCACCCCATACCAACTCGAGAGTGGGGACCAAACTTCTGAAACATGTCACCACTGACAAATGTCCACATGTTGGGCATCTGGCCCACCCACTAAACTGGAGGCCTGAATCAAACACCACAAAATTTGAAAATGGTATGCAGAAATGGTGAATTTTCTGCAAGTGTACCTTGTCTGATGCTTTTGGAAACTGACTCTTTTGGAAGCTGTCAACATTCAGGAAATGATTAAAATACCCCAGAGCTAATAACTGTGTCCCAGATTCCTCCCAGTTTTTAAGTAATCCAACAGTTTGAACCTGTATTTCTCATTATGCCTGACCATACCACAGAGAAGCAGCCACTGCCTTGAGACCACAGAGCAGCGGAAGTGGGAAGAGGAAATGTCTTAGGATTGAGCTTGTGGTGTGATGAATGCAGAGCTACACATTGAAATCAGGGCCTTTAAGTAGAGAAAAAAGGAGAGCCTTGCCAGGGTACTGCAAAGTTCAAAGAATTCCCAGTGAAGTCCCACTGCAACATTGTGACACTCTTCAACCTCTACTTGGGTCTCCTCTGTGTGCATATCACTATCCTGTTCAATTAATTCTTGATCAAGGACTCATCACAGTAATAGAGTATTTCAAAAAGTTCATGGGAAAACGTACACTGTCTTTCTGTACCATCCCACCACAAACTTTTTTGAAGTGCCCTCACATATTCTGCATCATTCCCTTTTCACTGGAGAGGAGTTATTTCCAAACATAAATAGACTAACCAAGCAGTGAGGAATTAACCATGAAGTTATGGGAGGGTAAGAGAGGAAGGAGCCTTCCAAACCAAGAATCCCAGTGCTAAGACGTGGGGGTCAGAGACCCTGGGGTTCCAGGAAGAGCAGGAAGTCTTGAAGTGTTCTCAAGCAGCAGGGTAAGTGAGATGAGCCAGGGTATGCAGGACTGGATAAGGACTTGGTCTTTCAAGGGGGCATGCGATGTGACTTATGTTGAAAGACCACTCTGGCTGCTAGAACAACCTGGATAGTGACCAAGAGACAAAGATGGAAACAGAGCTTCTCATTAACAGGCTTCTGGCAAAAGACAAGGGTAGCTGGTATCAGAAAAGGCCAGGAATTGGAGGAGATGGTTAGAGTCACATATATGTGTGTACTTCAAAAAGTTCATGGGAAAATGGAATTTAAAGATACTTGTTTTGATGCAAAAAAAAAAAATGAAACCCATGCATAGTTTTTTTCCATGATGCACGTTTTCCATAACCTCTTTTAAAGATCCCTTATACACATGGAATTTCAAATTTTTTGTAACCAAGTAACCTGTTTTTTAATTCTATTTTCCATTAGCCCTTTGAAGTACCCTGCATATACTGAAAGTAGAGCCAGCAAGTTTCTGGAAACCATGTACATGAGATTTGAGAGGAGAGTACTCAAGGACAGCCCCAAAGATTTTGTCCAGGTAACAGAAAAGATGGAGTTGTCCTCAGCTGGCAGACAGGAGGAAGACTACAGGAGAAAGTCTGGGGAGGAGAGGGCAAGAGCAAGGGATCTGTTCTTGCTGTTTACCACCAGTAGGACCCTGACCAAGTAATTCTAGCCTCCATGTGCTTCAGTTTTCTAATATAGCTAAGATAATCATAGCTTACTCATCCTGGCAGGATTGTGAAATGATGGATGTGATTGGCGGAAATCCTGACAAACAAGAAGTGCTCAGTGAGTGATAGTTGTTTTATAATGAAAACCTAAACAAACCTTTTTAGCTAATTGAAGATTCTTTAGAGACAATTGGCGCCTGCTTCAGAATCCCATTTTAACCAATGGCTTTTATAAGACTTAGATGTATGGTTAGGAGTACGTGTTTGTTGCTCAGCCAAGCCCACGTGAAATAAAACAGAGAACATGAAGAATTCAACCAGACAAGGGGACCTGTATTCAAGCATAAAATGCTGCTTTCCTATTGGGTGCCCTGTTGAAGCTCAGGTACAAGACTGAAGCCGTTACTGGGCAAAGCAGAGCCACAGGTGGGATGTGTGAGCATCCAGAGCATGAAGTAAGGTCTTGGCTTTGTGTTTATTTCTTGGGCAACTCCTTTGTGGGCAAGGTTTTTAGATCAAAAATGATCCCTTGGGTCCGACTAAAGGGTTAGTCTTGTTGGTATAATCATGGCCTGTCCAGTCCATCACCTGGAACCAAAAATCATTTTAAAATGTTTGGCTGAGACTTTTCTCACTTTACTGGGTACCCATTTGGACAGCTATGTCACAAGTTTTCAGGCTCCACAGTGAATAACTGCTGCTTCTGCCAGAAGCAGAAATTCCAGGAAGCTTTACAGGAAAGAGATTTTTCCATCCAAGAGCTGAAAGATTCCTATACCAAGGGTAAGCGTTGCTGAGCTCCATGACTGTAGAAACTATTCAAGTGTCCAGAGCCCTCACTCACCAGCATGTTTAGATACACCCAACTCTGGTCTTAACTGGCCTCCCTGTCTTCCCTAACTCATAGCCATAGATCGGGCAAAATCACCCTTATCATGCTGGGGGAGAAAAGAGGGCAACAAATGTTGTCCTTTAGAGAAGAAAGAGTGTTTTAGTGCCACAAGGAGCTTTAGGTGCAGACTTTGAAAGCTTCTCATACAGATAACTACTTTAAAGTGTTGTCGTGGGTAAAGCAAGATTCTGGCAGGCACTCCACAAATTATCTCTTGACCTCCTACTGTGCCTCTCGTGTTCCTCTCATATCTACAGAAGTTGCTGTTCTGAAGGAATTTAAAAAGTCTATTTGAAGAAATAGCCCTGATAGACCTATAAAAAATGACTGTGGGAGTTGGGTATAAACATTATAGGATTTCAGGGAGGGGAAGGATATATGAGGACAAGGAGAACCACGGGGCTTCATAGAGGAGGTAAAATCATACAAGTGGGAATTAAAAAATTGACAAATATGGATGCCTAAGAAGGAAGAGACTGGCCTAAACAGAAAGCAGCCTAACCAATGACTGGATGACTCTGAACATGGCTTGCTCATGGTCTCACTCCAAGCTCTGGGTTTGTTTGGTTTTGTTTTGTTTTTTTCCCCCCTTTCATTTTATATCAACCCTTGTGCCTTCTAATTTACAGACATTCCTCAAGATGATAAATTCCATTATAAAGCATACTTTCCATGCCCTTGGTGACAGAGAGCCCCTATTAACTATAATTAGGATTGTACATGCCTCAGTTTACACATTGGAAAATCACAATCTTCAAAGAGAGAGTAAAGTTAGCCATGAATTTTTGAAATCGTCACTAAATAGATGGATGGCCTTGTCTTCCCCACTCCCTGCCCCTAGATGAAAAACAGTCTGGTAACCAATAGCAGTAAGATTTCATAAATTTGACATCTGTATAGGAATGAAAACAAAATTTTAAAAACTCTTTCAGTCCTGAGGCATCCAAACAAGAATACCTGCCTAATAATTGTAGCATAATGAAGGAATTAAATTTCAGGATATTGAATCAGAAGTCCTAATCCAACATCCCAGTCCCTCCAGTTTCTATGAAAGTCCCTCTATTTCAAAAAGTGATCTTGGGCAAATGAACTTGAGCTTGTCTCAGAACCTGTCTGTCAGGCCTATAATAGAGATTACAGGTAACGTATAGAAGGGGTGTAAGATACATAATAATTTGTCAGAGAGTGGCAGCTGTTTATTAGTTTGTTGACCTCATTCTCTTTTCCTGCCAAGTAAAAGTCTAATGGCACGTCCTAGTAAAAATTTAGCCTCACATGCCCTGTGGCTGACAAACCCACTATTTTCCTCTGATTAAATAGCATACCATTTTGAGTTCATGATAAGCCAGGATTTTGGAAACAGTTTAACATTTTTTTTTTGAGACCCCAGCTCAGTAGCCTAGGGGCTAAAGTTCTCGCTTTGAATGCACCAGGATCCCATATGGGAGCCGATTCTAATCCCGGTGGCCCCACGTCCCATCCAGCTCCTTACCTGTGTCCTGGGAAAGCAGTCAAGGACAGCCCAAGGCCTTGGAACCCTGCACCTGTGTGGGAGACCCAGAAGAGGCTCTGGGCTCCTGGTTTCAGATCAGCACAGCTCCAGCCATTGCTGCTGTTTGGGGAGTGAATCAATGGACGAAAGATCTTCTCTGTCTCTCCTTCTCTCTGTATATCTGACTTTCCAATAAAAATAAAATACATCTTTAAGAGAATTTTTTAAATATTACCTGCAGTGTCCCTGTAAATCTGAATAGCTATAAATCAGACAAAACATGGCTGCCATCTCTTTGCTACTTTTGAAAAGTTCTTCTTAGTAAATTATTCAAGTAAGTTGTAACAACAAAGTGGAAGATTTAAACTACTCAGAAGCCTGAATTAAGGTGAACATTTACTAACCTTGATGCATG